AGGTGACAGGATGGCTGAAACCTCTCCCAGCTCTTCCCAGACACTCCATGTGACCCCTGCCAGGCGCTCCCAGCATCTGCTGGACTGGAGCCTTGGTGCTTGAGCAGTGCTTCCTGGGAAAGATGGCAGACTTTGAGACCGCTGTTGGATTTATGGATGCTTTCCCTTTTCCAGCAGATTAGCTGTTCTTTTGGGACCGATCCGGAGCGAGGCTGTCCGAGGTGTTTGCTTCCTGTTCCCCGAAGCCGCAGCCCTGATGATCCCGCGCTGTGGATCCCAGCAGCTGATGGGCACTTTTATAACTTAGTTATTGTGGTCTCAGCTTCTTTCTGCTGCCAGCCCCTGCTGTGATTTATCACTCCTGGTGCTGCAGTCGTTGTGTAACGCAGCACGTTCAGCTGAACAGTTCCATCGATTTGTAGGAGTTCCCTAACGGAATTGCTGGTTTTATCAGAAATGCTTGTTTTGGTGACATCAGCTCCTTGACATCCATGCCATGTTTTAGTTTGTGCCTCAGCTGCTCGCTACAGCCTCTCAAGGGAGCCAGTACCACCCGTGCCTGGATACATGAGGCAGAGATGTGAAAGGGAGAGACGGGGGTAACCAGTCTTCCATTAAATATTTGCTCTTAATGTTCGAGCTGATCCTGCCTATTGTCCTTGGTGTCTAATGGTGTTCACACAGCAGCATCCGTGGAGTAAAGGGAAAATGTTTCATTTCATACCTACTACCCTGTAAAGAATTCCATGCTGAAGAGGCTAAAGAATAGAATCCAGTGAGTAATGCATGTTTCTGTGTGGGCTCGGCGTGCCGGGGGTGCCGAGGGGGCCGGGGCCGTGTGTACGTGTGCTGCAGGAGAGCACAGAACTCAGCATTTCGGGGCTGGTCCAGGCGCCCTCCCTGCCACCCTCCTGTGCAGCCATGGACTGTTACAAATGCAGACATTCCTGCTGCCTCTGAGCGTAGGGATGGGGCTCAGAGACCTCTTGGAATTGCTGGTAAAATTGCTTTGAAAGGACTCCTGGGGAATGTATTTTAGGAGGAAAGGAACGGAAGAGTGAGTGATGCTGCTGCTGCTAATATTGGAGATTAATGAAAGAAATGTATCCAAAAAACCCTGATGGTATGTGCTCAGGGCCTGCTTATTGTAAGATTGCTGATGTACAGACTAATGATTTAGAAGCATCATTTTCTGAGGCCTTTTTGTTGAATTGTGCTTAGTGGATTGTCATAGATGGATGTTTTTTAATTGTGAAATACTTGTTTTGAATTAAGGTTTACTTATTTTTTTAATGTTGTCAGAAAAAACTGTGCTAGTTTACTTCTGCTTAACAAATAGATCTGTGTATTTAATATTAAAATTCAGCTTAGATTTGGGCAGCTAGTGCTAGCAAATTCTAGGATTGTTTTGCTGTTGGCTTCATTAAATAGAGGAATGCAGACTAGGAAACCTTTAAATTAATTAACTAAAGAGAATGAATATGTTTTTAATGTAGCATGACTGTTTTTATTATCTAATATTTCCGGCTGATTTTGCTGCCTTGTTTTTTTGGTAATGATTACACTGTGTTGTGCATGTCTCTGATGCTCTTTGTTTATCTGCTCAGTATTTTAGCATTAGGTGTTTGGACTTCATTTTCCTCCAAGCCATCCTTCTTGAAAATTTCATCATAGGCTTGAGTGAAGGTATCTTAGGACCCTAATTGCTGTTGTGAGCTTTTTATTTTAGGTATAGATACCGGATTTTGCTTTATGTTCTGCCCGATACTATGAAATAGCACTAAAAGGCTTCTTGCTGGAGTAGTGTGGCCTGTAAATATTTTTCTAGCTCCTAAGGCAGATTTTTCCCTTCATTTGTTACTGTATTGGCAGCAGTGATTAGGTTATTCAGAGCACGTGAACCAATTTAATCCCCCAATGAAGAAAGGAACTATTGCCACCATAGAGACTGTTCTGAAGACGTCGATTGGATTGCACGGGATAATTGGGCAATTTGGAATCTCTAGTAACCCTCTCCTGCTTTTTGTAATTGAACTGGGGAGGGGGGAATTCTGCTCTTTCAGTGTGAGATATTCTTGCTTAGGATTTGAAAACAGCTGTGTCATAGTTTCTCAAGAATACCTGAAATCTCCTCCTCTGCCTTTGCCGTGCTCCACGTCTGTGTCATACGTGACAGATGTGAAAAACACACAGATTGTGAGGCAGCACAAGTTCCTGAGAACAGAATTGCAGTTAAAGGCCTGCTTTGCTTATAGTCATTGCATGGGTTTAATTCTAAAACAATTCCAACATCTTTCTTTGCTGTGAAACCTCTGAGGAAGAATAAAGGGCCAGGCCTCCCTTTGGACAATTGATGCATAAGATTATAAAGCACAGGTCTGATGGTGAGGTTTGAGATCTGCCCTTAATTAAAGGTACTGCATGTCTTAGCAGATGTTTATGTACCAATTTTTCAACTATAAACTAAAAATACAGTGGAATAAGGAATGCTTGGGCTAGTTTTTAAGGTGTCATAGCAAATAGCCTGTGTTCCTTATTTATTCTACACCCCCCCCCGTAGCTGTTGCTCAGAATGTAGTATAATCATGCAGAAAGGATGTCACCTGGCTTTAGAAAACTTCTCTTTGATGTAATGTCTAGATCCACTCCCTGTGTAATCTCTCATGTTTTCTCCTGAGCTGGTAAATCCACTGTCGATAGATATAC